ACGATTTACATGTTAAGTTCGGTAAATTCTTACTTTTACGAATGTATTGTAAAGGAAATAATGTAAATTGGACAAACACCTTTGTTAATAAACTAGTTTAACTTATACTTTGTTTACTCTAATTTGTAGCGACGCTGTTGACTAGCCCTGAAACTGGGATTTGAAAGTGTCATTTGGGGTTTCACTTGTATATACGTGTTAATCTTTATACTAATACTAGACGAGTCAATTAAATCGGACTAAGTTAATATAACTCAATTATACAAGAATAGGAACTAAGTTTCTTACAAGTTTGATTAATTTGGTTTTTTAGTAGGAGTAATTAATTCAATATTTATTCTCAAATGAAATTGGTCAAATTTCGGGTTACACTGTATATACAGTGTAAAGTCTAAAAACCTGTGATCCCCCCCAAAGAACAGTCTTTACACAAGATCCACCAGATAAATCAGTTATTTAACTACAAGGGGAATTAAAGTGGTTTTCATCTTTTACCCAGGCCCGAGAATACCCAATTCATGGTAAAACTCTATGAACATGAAATAAAGGTCGGAAGGTTACGATGAGACATGAAGAGGAGGTGATGTGAAGTCTCCATTTTACAAACAAGAAAATGAGGTGATGTGCATACATTATGGAAATCAATGAAATGTCTACACCTACTTACTACAACTATATTAGTTCACAATTTAGTCTGAAATCAAGGTAGACCTCATTTAAGTGTTCGATGGGACGTCATATGTTTCAGGAAGTTTGATCGACGTGGAATGGTCGAAACTCTTGTGAAATTACTAGTTAGTAATATTTTGTATATTATTATATAATAAGACTTTACCTGGTTTAGACGTGTTACTGATGAAATTGTCCCCCCCTGACAGCGATGAACTTGATCTAAAACTAATGATTTCATGTCATGAACTCATTTTACATGATCAATGAAATGTTGGAGACCATTGAAGACCATTCTAAGAGGTTGAAGAGTTTGCGACCCACCGCGGTCTTACGTAAGTAAAATAAAGGCATCCACCTCTGTAGAACCGGCAGAAACTGAGTGGCACCACATGTAATGACCATTTGACAGCGAGCAAAACGCGGTTAGTCGCCAGCCCTTCTAATACTGCAGTCCCCTGTTTGTGAACAACCCCAACACAAGCAACAGCGAATCATTGGTGGAAGCAAGTCAGCCAATTGCTGATGAAACACAATACAATTCACAATTTATTTGCAATAGAATTACAAATAAAGCAAAAATAATTAATGATTATTGTGTATACATAAGAGAAAAAAGAAGACGGAATTTTTTACATAATTTCTATAAAAACATTATCAATCCATATCTAGGGTTAACAAAATGTCCTCATCGTCCATCGTTCCGTAATGACTTATGTATTTGTTTATATATCTTGTATTATTTGACAACTATATATCTTGTAGTTTTTCATGTTGTAAAAGTTTTATATATTTATTACATTTTTATGTCTTATGTGATATCGGTTGATGATGATTGTGCTTGAAAAACATTAATGTTAACTTTAAGTTACTCCTCTCTCATGTGATACATGTCCCAATACCTGTGTTGGCTCACTCAGACCAATCTTTGTTTTGGAATCCTTTTGCTATTGTGTACCTTATTTATATTTCTGGTTATTTTATTTTTGGGACGTAGTTAATATTATTAGTATACATATGTTTATAAAAACGTATTATGTGAAAGGGCAAAACTATTCTTCGATTTAGTACGCGTGTCATAACATTACATAAGTAAATATCTCCAACAAAGATGTACGACCCAAATTACATTGTCCTAACCTTTATGAAATAAAGAAGCCTCCTCCTTTTCCTGTGTCTGTGGACAGTGGGGTATCCCCATTAATCAGATACCTGTTCAAACCCAGAACAAAGAAACTGAACTTTATGGAAAAACAAAAACCGGACGGACCGTGGTCACTCCCAGTTTTCGATTTTTCCATTTGTTCGGAGATTTTAGGTAGCCGAACGCAGCGACCTTTTAAAGGTGTCCTACTCTGAACGTCCTATACGCGAAGTGTTGTTTGGAAAGTGCTTTTTTTTGGGTAGGACTGGGTGTTTGGCCGTGCGTCCGGTGCGGGTTGAAAGTCGCGTGGGTGAGTAAAGGGTCGAAGGATAACCGAAGAGGTTTCCCACACCGGTGAGTTGTTGCTGCAGTGATCGACGTATACCTTTTGTCGACACAAGCAGGCCATTATTATCAAATTAGACGTACAATTTTTTGCGATTAGTAGCGACTTTAAGAGTTTTAATTAGTGTGTCATTCATGTTCTTCACGCTCTTTTTTTCCTTACACACTACTATTCTACAATAAGAATCCGGAGGAAAAAGGGGTCGAGTACTTATAATTCATCGGAATCTCCGCGTATTCTGGTCGGAGGACGTCGTCGCGCTTGAGTAAGTCGTAGGTCGTCGATTTCTCGTTGAAGAAGTGAGTCTTAAAGTAGTCTGTTGCTAAGGCTAACTAATCCTGACCTGCTAATCTAATAAAATTTTTGATTTTTGTTACCGAAAACTCTCCTGGAAATAAGGGCAGAAGAGTCTGGAGTTGGAACCGGGTTTGCACGGTTGTTTCGTCTCGAGTAGGCAGCGACACCGAACCTCGAAGGAAAGAGTTCTCCTGTCCATTCTTTTAGGATGAATTTAAAAGTCAAAAAGTTAGAAGTAAAAGGTCTAGTTGAAATGAGTGAATTTAAGGAAGGACAAAAAGTTAAATTTAGTCTTTTCCTCTCCGCACCTCGGTGCCGGGATTTCGGTAGTCTCCTACGACCCGAGTAGCTGTCCGAGAGCCCAATCCATCCACGCCCTTTGCCCCCGTGGTGTTAACCATACATGCCACCTACCCCACATTGGACGTCCTGTCAAAAATCTGTCTAAAATGACGGAAACGGAGGGAGGAGGTCGAAGAATGTAGCCGTCGCTCCGACATTTATTTTTGTAGGCCCCCTAACTTTCGTGGCTCGTACGTAATCTCTGTTGCACTAGGGAGGATTATGGGATTTCTAGACGCGTTGTAGGAAAAGTGCCTATCGCCAGATTTATCTTATTTTCTGATGTACACTAATAGAGGAAAACTACGTAGTGTTTCGACCCAAATTTACCCACAGACACACGTACACCACAGGGACGCTCGTACGTGCTTAATTCTATACGGAGGTAATTCTTTTTCATACCGCTGTCGAACTAAGTCGGTGACTTTCGCCACGGTATCTTCCCGTAATTCGGCATTTCGTCGTGGCCCAACTCTGTCGTGTTCTCCTGTTCTCTCCTGTGACACCATTGGGACGTGGTTCGTCGATTACAATAAGAACGAAAGAGAGACAAATGTGGCCCGACCTTCGGTGTACAGACGCAATCAGTAAGAACGCGTGTACGAGCCGACGAACTTTCTCCGGACTACTCAAAAGGTGACACAGCAGGTGACGTCTGGGGGGGGGGGGGGAAGATTTGATGAAAATTATGTGCGAAGGGACATGTTTCCTTCACGACGCCAAGGCGTACTGTCTCCTGTGTAGTGAACCTTTTCGTTAGGCGTCACATAAAAACTCCGAGTCCAGTACTCAAAAGAAAACACGACCTTTATGTTGCGGGTGTGTTTGTTTCATCCTCTGAATCGTATCTCTCGTCACCACATCTCCCTCCCTAAATGACGTCGTGTCCTCTCAATTTCTTTTAGTCACACCTATTATTCAAAATTTAGTCGTCTAGTCCTAGTTAAACACAAGCTCCTTGTCTCATGAGCATCTATATATACCAATTTATTTAGCTATCTAGACAACTACTACGCTACACTGTAAAGTACTCACTAGAATTCAAAACAGATTCTATATCTATTATACCACATGTTATTTGCTATTCTTCGATGACCATTATACCATTACTTGACGCTGATGTGGACAACATTGTAAAAGCTTCTACTCACTAATACAAAACAGGATGTCTTACCAGTCTTTGTAACATTTTTTAACATGATACAGGACAAAAAAGTTTTTTTGTGGTTTTCTATGTAGGTCCACCTCGATTGAAAGTACTGAAATATGTGACGGTCCAAAAGTAAAAGCACACACGGAGGTCCGTCTATCGTAAACTTCATAACGTATAAAACTTGTCTTTATAGATAGTTACATTACCATGGAGCTTTGACCATAAATAACAATATCTCCGAGAATCCAGATGAAACAACCCCCAAAAAAGGGCACGGAGAGACATCACACAGAAAAGAAAACCAAAAATCACGATACATTTTACCAGACGTCTCCAGAATTTTAAATGGAAACACAAAGGAGTGGTAACTGAAAGGACAGTAAATGAACGGAACTCGTAATCACAGCCTAGTTTACACACATTGTAAGCAAAGTAAGGTCAACGAAGGAGACCACCGCTCGCGAGGTTTGATGATCAAACATGCACTATCCGTCACCCGCCTGTAAGAATTTCGCCAAAACTAACAAAGGTATTACGAGTTGTCATACGGTTAGCTCTCGTCTGACCCAATAGAATTCAGGTCATGAACAACAAGTATACATACAAAATTGAAAAACAATAAAGTCTACACTTATATTCCAGTACTTTTAAGCATTAAAACGAAAAAAACTGAAAAAAACGTATATATATTAAATGAAACAAAATAATACTAAATAAATAGTGAATTATAGTAAACTTACCAAAAAGAAAAACGTAAAACAGTTTCACTAGAAATGTAATGAGTTAAATAGACACCTTTAGAGGTGTCCTCGTTAAAACCACACACTACAGAGTCCTGTCGTACTAGCTGTACGACTGCAGCGTCACCCCAAAAACTTGGACATATAGGTAATGTGGTTGCGTGATCAAGAGTGACGCGAGTTATAACGAAGAGGGTGTTTTCAGACTTGTTAACTCCGTTAATCAACATAGATCTTATTAACGTCGAGAACTAAAACAAAGTGGTCGTAAACAAAAAAACATTAACAACACCAAGAAATAAGATACAACTCTTAACGGAACAAAAAGCAAGTTATAACACACAAAATATTAACAAAATCTATTATATATGAAAAAAAAAAAAAAAACTTTTCAGTCTAGACGTGTTGTGTGTAGCATCTCCAGTCGCAAACTACTACTACTCATGAGGATGTAACAACTCGAGTTGTACATCTAATTATTGACGAGAACAGTTGCTATTCACCAGAACCCAGAATATTATATCAGTGATATGATACCGCTGTTCAAAAACCAAACTCACGTTTGTAAAATTAAAATGTTTTACAATTTCCAAAAAGATGAAAGTCAAAGTAATGTGGTATAATAATAAAACAAAAACAAGAAAGGACAAGAGAAAAGTATCTGAAACCGTTTATATTAAAAGAGGTAAGAACCAAGGTAAAAGGTCGGGTCTAATATATAATGCTGGAGAATAAGGAAACTTCTACTATAAACTCAATAAATACAACTGAATTTTAATCAGAGATAGAGATGAAGCTCGGAGTAGTGTCTCTATGTTTATAACAGAGAAGAGGGACGTTGCAAATATAGTTTATATATGTCTTTAATTTTCTCCATTTAACGTCACTAAGGAAAGTAAGAACACCGAGACCCAAATTAAAGCAACATAATATTAAGTTAGTTCGCCAAAACTATGGGAAGACGTCAGTGTTCAAAAGTTTCACAAAGGAACATGTGAAATCGAGATGTAAACGAGCAACGATCCGTACAGAGTCCCATAAAGATTACACGTACATGACAGTGAAATTATTTTACGAGAGTTCAATATAGAACAATTACAATATGAAAACTAAGGTAACAATCGCAACCGTCGGGAGTTCTAAAACAGCCCCTCACACCAGCCAAACAAAATATTGTAGTACTAACAAACTACAATTGGTCCACGGAACAGGAAGGGGGTAGGAGTGTCGGGTTAGACAAAATTGTCGACCCTATAAATAAAATAAAATTGACTGAACGGATTAGGAAGGGTTGTCATAAATTGGTAGGCGCATAATTAACTGACGAACGTTCTGGGAGAAATTACATGAAGGACGTTAGGGTCGTAAACGAAACGTTATAAAGAAATGTTAAATTTATCATAAAAATGAACCTAAACATTAAGCGTTAAAGATATAAGTTAATACAGATAATAAAAACTACCATAATGGAGTGAACCGGTCGATTGGTTATTAAGATCAAAAAAAAAGGCACAAAACTTAGTATAGTGATATAAGAGGCATTATACTAACTCTACTTGAACGTACACATATATTTAATTTACAATACTTACATTGGAAGTATCTGTACCTAATTTTTACACAATTTTTTAGTTTAATTTACTTATAGATATAATTCCTCGTAAATCCTAGAAGTCTGTGAACCCGTTTTCATAAAAATTCGTAAAACTTTTGGTTCTAAATAAATGTAAAATAATAATCATTCGATATAAGGATAAAGAATAGGACATCAAAAACGACATAAATAGACTTGTGTATATAATAGCGTTGTGCACAAATATAATTTTTTTTTCTAATTAAAGTTCTTTTTTTCTCCTTGTAAAGGTAGCGGAAGTTTTATTCCAACCGTCCCCCATTTAAATAAATATTTTAAGATTTAGATTACAGGTAGACTTTCGGTCCTTAACAGGGCCCAAATCAGAATTGGGTATCTTCTTGGCCTGTGTAAAAGCTTTTGAAATGTAGTTCGTTATGTCACATGTGTTAGCCTGGCACATAGACATCTTGGACATGTTGTTATGGGAACACACAATCACATGACCTGGACCATGACCCACCAGACTGTTCAGTGTCACTTAGGGACTTCATCAGATTGAAACAAGGCTAAAGCTGTATAAGGAACTTTCCAGAACATTTAAAGTTCATGTGACACCTGTGTCACGGTGGCTCCTTATGGGTTAAATTCAGGAGGCTACTTGAGTAAATGTACTCAGTTACTTTACACATCTTGATAACCGTCAGTGTCAGTGGGGGCTTGTTAAGGACACCTGTAGCCTCATTAAGCCAAATTGACTCAGACAAAATGAAACCAAACATGATGTCTACATCTTTTCTGTGTGGTTATTTGTTTGGTTTTATAAAAAAAAGATTTGCCTGACAGTCTGAATTTAGGGCAATAAAAACAAACTCTACCTCTGCTTTCCCACAATCCATTGCGAACAGAAAGGGTCCCTCTTATTTGTATCCATTGGGGCTCCTGCAGCGAAATAGAAACGCTCATCTTACGCGTTACGTTTTCCCGTTAACCGTATTTAATGGGCTTTTATCCGGATATCCCACAGTGTTACTAGCCGCTGGGTTTTATTTCACACGTGTTAGCAGCAGGTGAGTGAATCCTCACATGACCGCTGAAGCTAACAGAGCTAGCAAGGCCACAGCTAGCTAGCTTTAGCTAATGATGCTAGTTAACGTGAAGGAATGACACTTTTTTTTTACAAAACAGGTAGTAACTGATTAGTTTGAGACGTCAGCTGACATATATATTGTTAAAGTAAAGTGTAATATTATGATTAACATGACTTAGCCCAGGTTAGCCTCTGAGGAACACTGTTTCCCTGGTTTTCAGCTGATCATCCTCTGTTCTTGATAGCTTTCTGTGTATTAAAAGTGTTTCTGATTTGTTGATTTCTTTCAGGATGTCATACCCTCCTCCCATGAACCGCCAGCAGATCGGCATCCCGCAGTTACCCCCCCGGATCCCCCCTCCTCAGTATGCGGGGTTTGCACAGACTGTCCCCCCAGGTACGTTACTGTTGGCTTCATATCGGAACAAGTGCCCATATGTTAGAGTCAAAGCAGTAATAACAGATTGTCAAGATGCTATGTGACAAGTCAAAGTCCTGCATTGACAATCTTACTTAACTACAAAATAATTGCCTTCAGAAGAATCCAAAAGTACTTGTTATGCATAAAAGATCCTTTCTTCCTGTAGCAGTCAGGCTGTACAACAACCACACAAACAACAACAAAACAAACAAAGACTGCGAAACCACTGTTTGTCAATAACACCAATGTGCAATATATATACAATTATAATTACTGGCTGCCTTCTTATTTTGACAAACTAATTCATCTGTAAGTAACTCTTTCTAGTATATAAAAGTGTAAAGTAGTTTGTGTTTGTTTTAATCCTTTACATGATCTCCTTGTATTTACCATCTGGATTTTGTTGCTCAAAGATGTTTGCAAATAGAAAGAGAGTTACCAACATTTCTTTGTAAACTTTACTGCTATAACCTTGGGTAATCTCACACAACAAAACATAGAATTGTGTGTGGTTGTGTGAAGTTATATTCCTCACTACATGGTTTGTTTATTGTATCTTGTGTTTATTTCCAGGTACTCCCATGATCCCGGTTCATATGGGCCTTTTGACCCCCACACCCTCAGTGAGTTGGAAACAGTTCTTACTGTGTGTGATTTAAAGCATCAGCTGTTCTATAGAACCTGACTGATCCTTACTTACTATCACTCTTGAATCAGTTTGATATTCTGCTGCTCAACAGAGCGGTGCAGTGATGACGTATTTTTGTAGGCCGACCCGGAAGTAAGCTGCGCAAGGGTTCCTTTGACAAAAAAGCAACGGGATTTCTCCTTAGGATTTTGGAATATTGTAAAAAAATAGATGTGTGGAAACCGAACCTGTTTAATAAATGTACGTTTTGTTCAGCCGGATAATCTCCACATGTCTACCCTACTTCTATAATTTTCTAATCATAAATCTAATCGCCAGAAGCAAAATGCTAACGTTATGCTATAAAAGAACTGCAGCCGAGTGCAGCAGCACGACTTCAACGTCACGCCAACTTAAAGGTGGGGTAGGTAATTCACTTCAGAAACACTTTTTGTTATAAATACAAACAGTAATACAATAAATACATAAAAAATATTTCATCTGTGGAAGCCGTGGCGCTGTAAAAAGCACGACCAATCATCTGAGCCGGCCCGGCTAAAGTAACTGGATGGCCTACCTGCCTGTCAGCCTTCCATCTGTGCACAATTTTATCTCGTGCCCTCATTGGTCATGTGTGCGTTCGTGTGTGTTGGAGGAGGGGCTCTGTAAGGAAGTCTGGAGGAAGGGACAGATTTTTTTCCGGTTGTGTATTTTCAAATTCTAGCGCACTCCAGCTGGTTTCTCCATTCTTACCTACCCTACCTTTTAAGATCCATATTCAAACATACAGATTCAAAGTTGTACAAGTTTAAGCATTTGTTTGAACAGTTTGCAGGAGGCAGGTACTTGCTCTCAAGCAGAACAGGGCAAACAAACTTAGAGGAGTGTTTACGTGTTTGGCGTAATGACGTACAACGGCCTCGACAACTTCTGTAGTCCTATTCAGCCACTTGGTAACAACCATCGTTTTTCAGACACGTCAACTCTTCAGAAATCACCAGTGGGGTCACTGCTGATGGATTTAATGTCGTAGAACAAAATGTAATCCGTGTCTTCAATGTGTCTCAAACACAGACCTTATTTCCAGATATTTTCAAAAAACTAGTTCAAAAATCCCACTGACTCTGAGGCTGCAGTCGAATAGTCCATTTAGCTTAGGAACCTTCCTGACGGAGTGAAATGACCCGGAGGTCCCTCAGTGGCAGCCATGATAAGTGGCGTTCGAATTCTCTAGATGATAGGAAAGGAGGTTTCAAACTTCCTTTATAACCTCCTTTAGCTTAGGAACCACTGGACCTCCCTAACTGAAAGGAGAGGAGAAAATGCTACCCCACAATGCCTTGCAGCCGCAGCATTTGCCGTCACACAACAGTCGGCCGTTCACGGAAACAAACGATTATGATGGAGAAGTTATATCATGAAATTTACGGCGCTTATATGTGGTAAGTTGCCAAAGTGATTTGTTTTGAACGTTCATCAGTATTATAATCAAAAAGAGAAATATGAACGTTAGTTTTTCCTGAAATTGTCAAATAAAGTCAACATTTCACTGAGCTGTGTGGGGTTCGTTCAACTTTTAAAAGATGTTTGAATGGTGATATACACAGTGATAGATGTTAAGAACTAACGTTTATAATAAATACATTTGTATTTATTTTAAGATATTTTCATACGATCATACGTATTGGGATCATTTATATTAATGTGGACCGGAGGGAGAGGGTGACGAGGATACATTTCACTTTCCTTTTTTATATCAATTACAACTTTGGTCATGAAGTAATATGTTTCTCTGTTGTCCTCGTTCATTAAGCATAAAACACAGCATCGAAGCAACGGTGGCAGGAGTCTCTAGATGAGTCCGCTCGTTCTTATTAAAATCCATGTTGTAGGTCCTTGTATAAACACTGTAGTTTCCATAGTTTCCCCACGGCAGCAGGCGCACACAATGACATCCAGCCTGGCGCATCAAAACACGTCGGATAGTGAAAGTGCATTCGGATTTCTCTAAAGTACCGCAGTCTCTTCTCCTAAGTCCTTTTGAATTTCTCCTATCCACTATCCCTTAACCCCGTGACGTTTCACTCAGAGGTCAAGGACAGATGATTAGGGTTTAGACGTTGTTAGGAGCTGATTTTGGATATTCGCGATGCAGACTCAGACGAGGAACCGGAAGTGGTGAAATGCTAACTCACTTCGGGTTTAGGGACTCTGTCACTGCCCACTCTAAAGAAGACATTCGTAATCTAGATTATAGTCATTCTTAGTCACTTTTTGATAACATTCCTTTGGTTGTTGCGCGTGGATTACAGTCAAACCCTGTTTTTTGTGTTGCAGGTTCTATCCCGGACCTCAGTGTCTATTAAACCCATAAGCCGATGCTCATAAAGAGGACCCGATCATTCAGAGCCTCGAGGACCAACGGCGGGCCCGACCACCACCGTGTTCGTGGGGGAGAACGATCTCTGAAAGGCTTCTGATCATGTTGGTCGACAGCTGCTTGGGCGGTAAAGTGTACCTACCCACCCTTTTTATTGAAGACATTATTTTAAAGCAATGAATATCCTAGGAATGCTCAAACAGTTTAATGCATCGGTTCGAGTTTCAGGGCGACAGGCAGTTCTTATACACATTCGAGTGATGCAGCATCTTGGTGTCCGAGAAAATCGATTTGACAACAAAATCACTTGAACAATCCCAACATAACAGCGGGTTTTGAGCATAACTGGTCATTAACTTGTCTCAAGGTGTGGTACTCACTACTGTGGTCTTTTGCTGATACTCTTATCATTATCAGTTAAAACCTCACAGCGTTGCAGCCCTATCGGTACGACATAACCCCGGAACCAAATGAATCAGAAATACTGCAACCTTTCCTAGCACTGAATCTTTAATCCTTTTGGTTCCTCTTCTTATTTCAATATAGAAATGTGGTATTGTTCTTGAGATGGAAAAGGGTGCAAGGTGACCTCTGGGAAATTCAAGGGTAGCGAAACACGGGAAACACAAAGGACACAACAGCTGTGCAAGACAATGCGTTGGCAGTTAATAGAGAAAAATAGCTATTTATTATAACTTTTGAAATATGCTTATCCCTCAAAGTTATAGGAAGAGCATGTGGTCGATATTTTTTAAATAACCCTAGCCCATTATTGAAGCTAATTACACCAACGCCCTTACCGCAACGTATGCCTGAATCAACCACTGAAATCAGAGCCGCAGAGTGAGACAAGCACTGTCAGTGGAGGGGCAGCCCCTGTCTCTTAATAGGCAATTATTTCCGAATGGAAGTGGACACTGACGATCACACAATGATATAGAGCGCGAGTCACGCCCATATACTTCCGACCCATGGGACCCGTTATTCGGAAAAAGTATGTATTGAAGTCAATTGGAGAGAGAAAATTATCTCTGCGATCCGTTTTGAATCGTGCCATGAATTACACATTGATGTTTGTCCATCTTTAAAAATAATTTCCACTGTCAAAAAAGTCAGTTTGTCCGCTCAACTGTTGAAATTATAAGACTATGAAAAACTACGACATCATAGAAAGACTAAAATCCCAGAATCCTTTGGTCTCCGCCTGCTGGCTCTGCACGGAATACCGACTAGAAACTCCCCTTGTGTGGTCATGTACAGCTCTCAATCATGCCCAGACTTGGTAGTGATTTTCACCTCTTTAAATACTTCCACCTCGTTCTGAAAGAAGAACGTGAAATGTTGCCAACGTGTGAGACGGTCCGTCCTTGGCTGTGTGTGCGACGTATGGGAGATGTATGTTTCATTGGCGCGGTTTCACACATAAAAATAGTGTACCTTCACAGGTTTTACGACACATTTTTATTTATTTTGATCTTGCAAAATTATTTTTAAAATGGACAAAACTCATATGTGTAACTTCGTGGCACAATTCAGAAACGGTGATGAAAGATAATCTTTCTCTCTTCCATTGACTTCAATACATACTTTTCCCAAAATAAGGTCCCATGGGAGGAAACGGAGTTGACTTCGCTCTCTATAGTAAAATTGACGATTTTTAGAATTGACTGATTAACAAAACAGTGATTAGACCTACATAACTCTTTATTTTCAGAATCTCAGTGGAATATAAATTGGTCATTTCTTTGCACCACATTTGCTGAAAAAATCATCCATTCTTTGTCTAGGTTTTTCATATTTTTCTGCAACTATTGACCAAGAATATCAGGTTTGT